GACCAGACATTACAGATACATTTCAATTCTTCCATGATGGTCTTATTGTCACAGAACTCAAGATGTCACCTCAGATAATGTCAGAGTGAGGCTGAGCTTTGACGGTTGTGAAAAATGTGGGCTATTTTACTGGTAAGATTGTATATTAACTGCTAATTGTCTCTTAAATTACGCTTTCGTAAAACATATATTCACTAAAAGGCAAAGCCACTTGTTAGTTTTTTATTTTGTACTTGGTCCATTTTAAAACTAAACCAGTCTATTTTTAGAAAATTCAGAGCCATTAAGTAGTTTTACCTCATGAACCTCATGCTGTGTTCTTTATTCTGGTTTTTTATAAACAAACAAATCTCTTAAACTAATTGTTGTAACTATTATTAGTATTGTCATTCTTGAAACAGTAATGAATCCAACAGGTTTTGTTAAAAGGTTGTGGAAGAATCTGGAAGGATTAAAAATAAATCTTTGCACTTTTCTGATATAAGTAAAAATTATAAATTATATCATAAAAGTACAAGGATAATTTAATATAAAAACATGAATATTATTAAAATTGACCAAGTGAAAGCTAATTCTGTGTTGGTTAAGGTGGAGAGGATTCCAAAAGTTAATCAGTTGACAAAAATCCAATCATCACTTCCTGAGAGCTTCATTAATTCAATTCAATTCAAAAATACAGTACTTTCTTAATCCCACAGGGAAATTATTTGTTGTTGTAGCTCGTTATCCTCATTTCATTAAGAGATGTTATAGATGCTGATGGCAGTAGACAGGAAGGATCTCTTATAAAGGTCCATCCCACAGTGGATCCTAAGAAACTGGCTGCAGATGCCGTCCGATCCGTCCACCCAGACTCAGCTGGCCTCTCGGTTCCCCGGGCTGTAGGACCGCCCGAATGCCGGGCAGAACTCCTCCCAGAGCGATGGCCACTCCTCCCAGCAGTCTGCCGAGCTCCTCGTCGCTGCGGACAGCCAACTGTAGGTGTCGAGGGATGATCCTGTCCTTCTGCTGTCATGAGACATGTTTCGTGCTAGTTCCAGGATCTCAGTGGTCAGGCATTTGAGTACAGCTGGCAGATAGATGAGAATGCATCCACAGAACATCCTTTTCAACTCTTTTGAGAATTGGGACTGAAGTTGAGATATTATTTGAGCTTTTGAGATGTTAATCAGCTGCTGTTGGTTGTAGAAAACGGCCTTGTTGCCATGGTTACGCATCATAACAAATGTCCAAAACTAAAAAAGTTTCAGTAAAAATCTTTCCAGCTGCACAGCATCTGATACCAGAGGAAACCAAACCAAAAATATGACTGACATCCAGAAAAAGAGGAATTAAAGTTTCCAAAAGCAAAATCTCAGAATGAAAGTAACAGAGCTGCTCCAACATGCAGCCACCTTGAGCGGCGCAATTCAAAAATCCCTCCATTCATTCATGAGATATTTTGCTAACAGACAGAGATGACTTGACTCCAGCAGGTAATGGCAAAGTTTTCAAAGCAAATATTGTGTGATCTGTTAGCACTCAGAGTATGTGCTGTGAATGACTCCCAGGTACTACCACACCCACATCTCAGCTCCATGGAACTGATTTATTCACACGGTCACTTAGCTGTGACGGCCATCTTGAATGGACTGACTTCACAGGTTAATGAAAATGAAATGATTACTTTCTGAGAGTGTTCAACCTGTTCAAAAGATATTTTGCTAACAGGACAAATGAACACACAGACAAGACTTGAATTCCTTCTGATGAGTTTCTTTGAGAGCAGCTTAAATGTGGTGTCAGTGCTCGATACTTCAACATGTTTTAGAGCTTCAAAGTTTTAGAGTCCAGAGTTTTTACAGACTGCACAATGATGAAGACATCTAGAGAGCTTCAGGTGAATCTGAAGCAGCTGCTCACTGAACCAGGAGTCCACGCTTCATTCATCTGAATCTTAAGCATAATTTCAACACAGTAGAGCTCTTTGGTGATGCAACATTTGTTTGTTTAAAGGAGAGTTAGCAAAATATTTCAGTAAACAGATGTTTGACATGTTTGATCCTCTTCACAGGTTTTAGACCACCACTGCTCTGGTTTGTTTCAGAGACACTGGACTCTGCAGCCTTCTTTGGTCCCACTCAGCTGATTGATACATGTTGGTTGTCATGACAACCGCTTCACTGTTCCTACATGTGAGGCTGAACTTTGAAGAAGTGCGTGTGTTACAAACACGACACCAGATCTGTTCCAGCATTTAACGTGAAGTGGGTTTAAAGTCTCAACACAAATCATGACATCTTCCATGTTTACTGTCAAATAAACATTTAAAAACTTTGAATAAACACCAAAACAGTTCATGTTTACACATTTTATTCTTATTTTTATTGCAGTTGTCATTTGCAGAGTTTTAAAACGTCCACCCTAAGCTTGACTTTTTTTCCAGCAGTTACCTGCAAAAAGCAATAAAAACAAGATAAGAGATAAAATAACTAAATGTGTAAAGTACACAGCATTCTCTAGACATTTGTTTAAAAAAGGTACTTACCTTTGTTTTCCCTCAGCTGTCAGTGTTATCACCACGAATCGCTTGGGGCGCGGTCCCTGAGCACTCATGTCAGTGGCGTGGGTAATTAGCCACACACCGGGGTCAACTTTTAAAATGAGTATTTGGTTGTTAAAGTTCTATCTTCTTTGAATAGCCTTCCTTATTTTGTTTGGTTACAGCCCATTTACTGTGTAAATTATACTGTATAATTTAGATATTTAGCTGGACCGTCCTTTGTGTTTGTCACTTTCTTTGTGATTAGACTTAGTTTGGTGGTTGCCCTGTATTCATTTTGTTGTTTTCCAGTTGCTGGGGTCCGGGGCTGTGCTGGTTTGGCGGTCTTCATCTGGTAACCTCAGCTCCTGGGTTTTGTTTTCTTCCTTCCTTTGTTTTTCCATAGGATTTTAAAAAGAGTATTTATAAAAATGTACATAAATAAACTTTTCTAATTTGCAAGCCTCAGAAAACGATGTCTCAGATGTCACAAGTATTTTTTGTAAACTCTACGAATCGGTGTACCTTGTAAATGCATAATTTTAATGAGAACCGCTTGGTACCACCACATGTTATTGAACCATCTCTGCTCCTCGATGCACCACCACAATTAAATCATTTTAGATGTTCTTCACATTAATGGACATTTTAAACTGTTCAATTATCAAGGGAAGCTTTTAGACAACAAGAGCAAATGTTTACACACAAACAACTCATTAACACCCAACATGTGTACTAAAATCGTTCAAAGCTTTCTGTCTCTTTAATTTATGTTTATAAAAATGGGTTTCCCATTGAACTTTAAAGTTTTCACAGAGAGACATCTTAAATCATATGCAGCACTGAAATTACTAAAAGTGAAATAATGGCAGTTCCATTTGCATAAATTATACAACATATTAATTTCATAACTACTGCAGCCTTAGGAGGCATGATTAATAAAAACTGTTTAAACTTAAAACAGTTGTAACTTGATTGAATGTGACCAACTTAAATATTGATGATAATAAACAGCAGCAGTTATTAAAATGACTGGTTTTTTTTGTGTTTTTTTTACTATAAATAGAAATATAGACACTTGGCTAAATGCTACAACACGGGTCGTGGAGCCACAGATTTCATGTATAAACACCAGATCCCGCATGGACCGCTATCGCCTATTGGCGCTGACGAGCCGTAGCCGTAAGTCACATGGCTTTTATTTTGATAGTCTACTTCCGTTTTTCGGCAAGGAATTTGCAAATAACTATATTCAGAGTCTGAACTAAATATATAAATTGCAAGTTAAACATTTTACCTAGCAAGTTAAATATTTAGCTAACAATTTAAATATTTAGGATGGAGATAAATATATAGTTAACAAATTAAATATAATTTGGAAATTAAATGATTAGTTTGTAAAATATATATTTATATATGGGGGTGCCGTTTGTAAAGTTAAATAGTCAAAAATTAACAGCAATATTTTGGTTTATTTTGCCTTTAATAAGAAAAAGTGTTTTTTTTTCCAAAGTCATATTTTCACCATACATTACAAACCATTTATAAATGTCATAGTTCCCAACTAAATATTTAATTTACAATCTAAATGCTTAGTTTACAAACTAAATACTTGCAAGTTAAATGTTTAGTTAGCAAACTAAATATTTAGTTATAAATTATTTTTTTATTTTCAATATTTAATTTCCAAACTAATTTCTAATCCAAACATTTAATTCCTAAACTAAATATTTAATTTGCTAACTAAATATTTAGCTCGAACTTAAAAATATATTTTACAAACTAAACATGTAATTTCTAAAATATATATTTAATTTGTTAACTATATATTTACCTCCGTCCTAAAAATCTAACTTGTTAGCTAAATATTTAACTTGCTAGGTAAAATGTTTAACTTGCAATTTATATATTTAGGTCAGACTCTGAATATAGTTAAGAAACACATACCTTGCCGAAAAACAAAAGTAAACTATCAAAATAAAAGCCAAACCCATGTGATGTAACATTCGGGGCGGATCCGGTTCTGGATGTCAACAACAAACTGGAAGGTGCTATTTATAAGACTGAGCTTATTGCAGCTCCTCAGACTGATGAAGTCTTTTGGATAAAAGACGAAACGTTTCAACAACTTAATTTTTAATTTTATTTATTTGAATCCGTCCAGAGGACCTGACTTAACTTTGTTAGACATGGGCATGATTGTTTTTTCTTAGTTTGTTGCATTAAAATACGTTTGAAGCGATAGGAATTTTTCAAACTGTTGCCTTTCGCTGTGTAATAAAGTTATTTTATCCATACTTTCGACAATTAGAGGAGTATGAGCCTAACCAGTAAAATAAAATAAACTTTGAAAAAAAAATGCATATTTTAAAAAGCGAAAAATTCTTCATTCTATATTTTCAAGACAACGTGTATTTACAGAAGTTCTTGACATACACAAGTGGTTAGGTTTGCTTGACGCGCATGCGCAGATTGGTCCTACATTGCCCGCGCCGGTGGTGAACAGAGAAATTCAACTGCGTGGTCTGGAGCAGACAAGCAGAGGCGCGCGGCCGTATCTGCGCTTTTCAAGGATTACGCTGCATATTTTTCAACCCGCCTGACAAAGAGTGATTGGAAAACAGGTAGGAAGCCCAAATCCCGTTCCTACGTAGCATTTATGAGTTATAACGCGGTGAGCTAGACCCTCTTGGTGTTTGCATCAACATTCTACACGGTACGATGCCGCATGTCGGCGTTAGACTTATAAACAAACGTGACGAAGTAGGTGATTAATGCTCCTGGGGTTCACGTATTAGTTCTGTTTGCTCTTTACTCGCCTGCCTATAGTTTCTTACTTGTTTTTTTTTTAAATAATTGGTTACTCTAAACATTTGTTACTGTTTCCAGTTGGAGAAGTTTGCCGCTGTGTATCCACGCTGCTCGGTCACAGTAGGAAAAGTACGGGGAGGATAGGCCTAGCGCGAGGCCATAGAGAGCTCCCCTTGAGTGACAACTGCTTGTCCAATCAAATGCAAGCACCCGCCCCCATCGCTGCGGTTCGACCAATCAGTTTGTCTAAAACGCTAACATAAAGCTCAGCTTCTCTCGCGCTACGCCCTGTGGTTATAAAACACCGGACAATAAAGTGTCGGAAGTGATCAACAATAGGTTTCCTGGAATTTATTCCCGCTACGTTTTCACGTTAAATTTTCTGCCCAAATACACTAGTCAGACGTTGCAGTCTAAATGCATGTGGCTGAAAAAATGTCTGCGTATGAGGTCCGGTTCTCTGTGTACCATATTAAAAAAACACTACAAAAGATGTTCCTTCTGTGGCTTCTCTATTAAACTCAGAAATGCAACAGACCTAATTCTGGCATTATAAACCCAATTTGCGCCCATTCTTTCCGGCTGTCACGTTTGGCTGTCTGCGAGCTATAAAAAAACAAAAGCAAATTAATTGTTAAATCGTTCGTTTTACTGCATAAGATGATTTTTCGAGCTTTGGTTGTTAATCCATGTAACTGTGATGCGGCGCGCGGATGGTCATAATAGTCTTTTGTCTTGACGTGAAGTCGGCTGGGCTGAAAACACGTGGGCCGAGCGGAGTGTGGCACATCCGGTTTGCACGTTGCAGCATTGCAATGAGAAAAACCAGCCTCGGATATGGCGAGCCGAGCCAGACTGCTACATCCCGGACTATGTAAGATGCTGTGGTCAGATGTTGTCCATTTGTAGGAGCATGTAGGTGTTAGTCGATCCTTTGTGCCGAATGCATGACGAAAGAAGTGGGAAGAGATGATGCTATATTGCTTTTTTCCTCGTTAATGAATTAAAGGGCTTTCTTCATCCAGCAGGGCCTTCATTACACATGCAGATTGGCAGCAAACCTCAGCTTAATAAGTGTAACAGGAGCCAGGTTGTGTAGAGGGTTTTGTTGTATCATTCCAGGATTATCTTGGTGCATTGCCTCTGGGTGGCTGCTTTGAGTGAATTTATACACCGAGGTCTTCGATTATTTGACGTCTTTTTTTAACCTTAATGTTAAAAAGAGGGCAATTTTTTTTATGTATCTTTTGCTACACATGCTCATTTGGATATCTTATTACTCAGCATTTGGTATTGGCTACATATTCACCACCATTTCAGGGGCATGGCTCACCTCTAAAATGTCAGTTTCCACTCCAGTACTACGCTGTACCATGTTGCTAAATGTGTAATCTGTGGCTTGCTTACAGAGAGACTTATTTTTCCCATCCTGGACAGCATTAGTGCTCCACTGTTGAAAAGGGAGTTGTCTTACTTCCTTTTCTCAGTATTGAACCAGTCTCTTAGATTCAAAGCACTGATCATTTTCCTTTCTATAATCTGTAAACAGACACAAGAATATTAATTTATGAAAAATATTTATCAGTGAAGACCTTGACAGTCACATGTGTTGTTCTTTTGTCAGACACACTTGTCTCTTTATGGCATTACCAAGGTTAACTGAGTCTAGTTTTTCATTAGTGCGTGTTCTGGTTAATGTGTATGTGTATGTACAGGGAGGGGGCCTTGATGTGGGCAGTATGAGTAAGACGCCCCCTAACAGAAGAGGGATATCATTTGAGGTGGGAGCTCAGCTTGAAGCCAGAGACAACCTCAAAAACTGGTGAGTCATGGCCTCACTCATTCCTCTCCATCCACATTCTGTTTTACTTCTCATTTCCTCACAAAAATTTGCATACTTTTTTTTTTTTTTTGCTTTTCTGGATGTTTGTTAGGTACTGAAAGCTAGTGGGGAAAGAATAATTGGATTTTCATTCGTTCATGTTTTTTTCTACAAGAAAACTGTTGATTTATGATTGTAAACTCCAAAGTATCAATTAGATTTAACTATGGTAAATGGTAAATGGACTGTACCTATATAGCGCCTTTCTATCTTCTTTCAAGATACTCAAAGTGCTTTACACTACAATCTGCCTCATTACCCATTCATACAGCACTCTACTAGATCTATACAAAGCTAATTGAACAAATCATTCTAAAGAGACTAATCAGAGCTTTAGATCACATTCATACACTGATGGGACACACATCAGAGGCAATGAGGGGTTCAGTGTCTTGCCCAGGGACACTTCAGCATGTGACTGCTGGTGGATTCGAACCTCCAACTCTCGCATTGAAGGACGACTGCTCTAACCACTCAGCCACAGCCGCCCCTGATGCCTATGACCTGATTTATTTAGAAAAGGCATTGACCTTTATTGTTGTTTTTATCTTTCAATATTTTTGATAGTTTCATTATATATAAAATGCAACAAATATGCTGAAAAATGTCAGTTAGTTACTTGGACCCCCTTCACTCTGGATGGCAGCCCCAGATTAGATGGGGCTGGATTCAGCTAGGTTTGGAAAGCTTCCTTCAGTCTAAAGGAAATCATGGCACTTCAACACTCACTCTCACTGGGCTGCGATTGTTAGACTAGTTGTGACTCAAAATTGTGAGACAAAGCAATGTTTTTGTTGCAGTCTCATTGAAGTCGAGTGTTTGCAACCAAGTGGCCAATGTAGTTGTTTTTATATGGTTTAAAAATTGTAGCTTATTATTCTGTGCTTGGCTTGCAAAACTGTATTGTAACCCTTTCTGAAACAAAGCTATATTCCTCACCCACATAATACCTACTTCATCCTGCTTTGTACCCACCTCCACATTGATGATTGAATCTGCTGGAGTACCCTGATGGAAAAAAGACAAGCAGGTTTAAACCAGTTTTTTTTTTGTTTGTTTGTTTACAATTACATATCATCATGTGGTTTTTAGATCTTGACATATGTCAGTGGAAGGCTCCAATAGCTCCTGTGATCTTTATATGGGATGGAAGTGCTCCTCGAAATGCTGTAATTATTTTGAGAAAATTTGTCCCATGAATTTTTGGACATGTTTAAAATTTCGGCACCAACAACACAAGTCTCTGTGACTAGGGCAAGGGAACTGAGAACCCCCATAACCATTGTGAGAGCATATTAAGATACTGATTTTATTACATGCCAAGCTCGCTGGCACCCTCCCCATGCTCTTATGTGCCCGCCCCAGTATTACGTCTCATATTGCATCTCATGCCATAAGATCAGCAACGTTGGCATTGTGCTACTGTCATGGGTATTACATCTACTCTAGGTTGTTTTAATGACCTTAACACAGTCATGGTTATAGACTAAACGGGAAGCCATCATGGACAATCCTGCTTAAAGTTTCTATGACCAAACCTCACTGGTGTATTCTAGCCTAACGTCTTAGATGCCAGAGGTCGATGTAAGAGGTTTCCGTTTGTCCAAGACAACTTTTTTTGTCTCAGACAACTAGATCCTGTCTTGATGTTGTCAAGAGGGAACACTGAACATCAAGGTGTTGTGGCTGTTTGAATTAGTTAAACTTTATTATATTTAGACTTACTGAGAGGTACCTACTGTGATAAAGAGAGAGAGTCAGAGTTTCTTTATTGTCATTCGCACCTCGTGGTGGAGCGAAATTATGTACACGGGGTCCCAGTTACATCCAACAATAAAATGTAAAAGAAAAACGGTAATAACATCTAAGATATGAACTAAGAAAAACATCAACTAAATATACACTAAGCACTCATAACATAAAACATTGAACATCAGCACAAACATGAACATGAGTCTGTGTGAACGGATGTGCACGCATGAACACATCAACATTGAAACAGATCAGCAGCAACATGATGTGATTTTTCACAGTGACTATTCTAGTTAGAGATTCATGAGTCTAACAGCCTCAGGGTAGAAGCTGTTCTTCAGTCTAGTGGTTCTACACTTAATGCTCCTTAACCTCCTTCCTGAGGGGAGCGGGGCAAAAAGTGTGTGTTGGGTGAGTGAGGTCCTTCATGATGCAGGTGGCCCTCTTCCTGCATCTAGAGGTGTAGATGTCTGTGATGGTGGGGAGACTGACTCCAACAGTCTTCTGTGCAGCCTTCACCACTCTCTGCAAAGCTTTTCTTTCTGCAGCTGTGCAGCCTCCATGCCACACGTTGATGTTGGAGCACAGGATGCTCTCCACTGCACACCTGTAGAAGGAGGTGAGGACTGAGCTTCCCAGTCCAGCTCGCCTCAGCCGCCTGAGGAAGTAGAGTCTCTGATGAGCTTTCTTGATCAGGCTGGTGGTGTTGTTGCTCCAGCTGAGGTTGTCATTCATGTGTACACCCAAGTACTTGTAGCTGGAGACCACTTCCACCACTTAAATGTAATGTCATAAATGATGAAATATGACAAATAAATAGTATTAAAGGACTAGATGAGCTGAAATCTTGTAAATATAATTCCTTTGAATGAAATAGTCATTTAGAGGAGAAATCTGTCAATCTGGCAAAATAAATAAACAAACAAATAAATTCTACCCTGCAAAGGACATGCTGTCCTAGGGCTGGACAATATGGCCAAAACTTTTATCACGATTTCTTAATTTCAGTCGATAACTATAATTCGATATTGATAACAAAATAAAAGCCTCAGAAAAACTGTACAAATTGTACAAATAAATTAATGTTCACCTTTTATTTGTATTTAGCCTTCAAAGAAATTTGAAATTGCCGTCAAATAAACATAAAACTCAACTTTGTCAATATTAATAGTTTTAACTTGACACAACATGACGCATGCAGCAAACATCTGCATTTGCTGTATGTGTTTCTCTTTTGATACAGCTGGGGGTGTTGTTTCAGGGACACGTTGGCTCAAACTTTTATTGTTATCTTCTGACTCTCAGCATATTCTATTGAGTGGAACAAGTTAGATGTGTTCCCACCGCTAGTTGGAATGACTCTCCATCACATTTTGCAGCACACTGACTGAAACCTGCAGTTTATCGAATCTTAGATAGCCGAACCATTTCCACACTGCCAAATTAGTCTTTTCTCTCATCAGTTATGTCATTTGCTTTCTCTTCACTTGTGAAAGCTTGTTCAGTCACATTCTGACGGTCATGGGCACTCATTTTGAAGCGAAAACTTAACGCGCATTGGAGATTAGCCTAGCCTGCTAGGCTAGGCTAATCTTTAGGCTGAACTGGATTGAATTGAATTGCTACCGCTAACGCTTTCTGGACTCGAGCTCTGTGTAACATGTATGTCACCACGCACTTATGTAGTTGTATCGCACCTTTTTCTGTCCAGGTTGAAACTGAAGCGGCCGCTTCATTCCGAACAGAAAATGAAATGCGTCAGTGAAACGCTGTAATCATATCGAAATATTGAAAATATGCTTAAAACTCATATCACCGTTATTGAATAAAAGTATATCGCGACATATGTCGAATTATTGTCCAGCCCTATGCTGTCTAATTTTTAATAGATTTGACAATCTCTCAATTGAAAACATTGAAAATACATAAAAGTAAACTACAGAAAAGTTGTTAAAACTGTCTCTTCCTTCAGAATGATGTTGGTCTTGATGGTGCTTCGTTAGAGAACATTATACTGTGTACTTTTACCAAGGTCATGTACTCAGTGTACTCCTCTGTATGGAAATCTTTGAGAAGTGACCTTTATGCAGGAAAAAGCTTTCGAATATGTTATTGGGGTGGTGGGAAGCTCGATTAACATCTAGGTGTAGAAAATTTTCATTTAAAAGATTTTTCATTGCTTTTATTCCCTGAACCTTAAATATGCTGGACAACTGAATAAATTCCTCATGTCTACCCTCTGGATACACTGCCACCTTGATGATTAACAACCATGACCTTGCAAGACAGCTTTGAGCACATTCAGAATTGTTGTGGATCTTTCATACTCTGTCATGGGTAATGGGGAGCCCATTGCGTTCCTAATACACACCAGAATACCTGTTCTTTAAGATTTGGCAAGAACCATCCAACACCTGGCTTTTTTATGTAGTAGCAAGATCATCATCCAGCAGGAAGTGGGAATAAAGTTTTTAATTTATATTTATTCTAAAGAAGTTACTTAAAATAATTTATACAGTAACAAGTAAGCTTTTGAGTAAACTTGTCTTAAGGGCTGTGGTTGTTTCATATGCAACTTTTTGAGTTTAGTTTATTTTCTAAAGATTTTCCAGTTTCATAACAGGCTCAGGATCAAAGATAATGTAGTCCTGTTCTCTTCCCAATTGTACATTATTGAATTTTCTCATTTAGGTATGCTGCCACCATAGAGAAGATTGACTATGACGATGAGAAGGTATTGATCCATTATCGTCAGTGGAGCCATCGTTATGATGAGTGGTTTGACTGGACAAGTCCTTATCTGAGACCTGTAGAGAGAATCCAGCTGAGGAAGCAAGGCCTGAATGAAGACTCCTCTCCACCTGTAAGCTAACATTGCTTATTTTTCTCTGCGTCTCTAGAACAAACAACTCTGTAGCACTTTTCCATTGCTTGTAGAGCTACCTTTCTGACGAGGGTTCTTGCAAGTAGAATTTTGATAACATAATTACAATAAGTCTACATTAACAGTTTCTTCGTTAGCTCCTAACAGCTTGTTATAAAAGTTTGATCAGATGTTTTCCTCCAGGGCTTTCACATAAATGACAAGGTTTTGGCCAGCTGGTCCGACTGCCGTTTCTACCCCGCTAAAGTTGTTTCAGTCAATAAAGATGGTAGGTATCTTTCATTTTAGAAGTTGGTTATTCATATGCAATTTATGTGTGCACCATTTGCCATAAAGTGTTTTATGATATGGCTCTTTAGTGTTTTAGGTGTTTTGTCAGTAAATCTTTTAAGCTGTGTGGATAGCTTTAAATATTAAGTTGGTACTTTTGTTTTCAGGAAAAACAAATGCAGATTAGGACAGCACAGCGTAATATATTTTTTATAAAGATGAATAAAATTTTATCTTAAACTACAGTAGTTAGTAGCATAGTCATTTGAGAACCATCTATGTGACAGCTGTACTGTATGTACAGAACATACGTTGTAATGTTTTGCTCCATTTTGTCTCTTCTAGCATCTTACACAGTGAAATTCTATGACGGTGTCATCCAGACAGTGAAGGGAATGCACGTGAAGCCTTTTATTAAAGAGGTACTTGCATTTTTATTATAAATATATTCAATAATCTGAAAGGTGTGACTTCTTCCTGTTAATTTTTATTTATTTAAATTTTTCCTCTTTTGTGCTAAAAGAGAGGTGGTGCTGGAGGGAGGTCTCGGTCCTCGGAAAAGAATATGGTAAAGAGGATTCCAAATCGTAGGGACCGAAGGCCTCATGAGAATGGGGGTCCCAAAACCAAGCGAGCCAGACGCAGCACCTCGGACCAGGAAGAGGACAGCAACAGTGAAGATGAGGAGCATGAAGAGGACATGATGAATGGCAAAAGTCAGAAAACAAATGGTGTGCTAGAGGCTGGACATGTTGTCAAGCAAGAGGAGGATCTCTCTGATGCTGAGCAGAACAATCCTGATGCAGAGAACAGGACAGGACTCACAAACGGTGTGAAGGTTGAAAAAGATGAGCAAAATGAAGACACTTGCCATGTAAATGGAGATGTGAAGATTGAAGAGGTGGAATCAGAGCAGAGTGTAGTAAAACCATTTGCAGAGTCACCCAATCCGTACACAGAGATGCAGAGTCAGGCTTTGGTGCAAACAGAGCAGGACTCTGTCGCCACGACAACCACAGAGTTCAATGGTGATGAACAGAAGCCTTGTGTCCAATCAGAGAGCACTCAGCCGGCAGCAGACGTACCGCCGCCTCAGCCTGTTAAACGTAGGTATTCATAAAGTCAACTAGGTGAAGGGTCACTGCATCTGTTAAACTGTAAAAAAAAATACATGTCATCACTGGGTGTAAATGTAGACATCTTTGAGACTGAAGTTTTCTGTCTTTGTTCCCTTATAGCAGTTAGGAAGCAGGGCTTCCACAACCCCAACAGGTTCAGCAGAGAGCCACGTAAGTATGCTTTCAAATACAGCACTCATCTCTGACACAGTTTATACGATTTATTTTAAACATTTTGCACTGGTGTTATTTGTTTTAGTGTACAGGGTTATCAAAAACCAGCCTCCCCCCGTCCTTTCCATTAACCTTGACCACAACCCGTTCAAGTGTAGCTCTCCAGGCTGCACAAAGTCATTCCGTAAAGCAAAGCTGCTGCATTACCATATGAAATATTATCATGGTGAAGAACAGCCTCCAGAAGGACAGCACAGTCCCACCAGGAGTGTCCAGACCAGGGCTTCTGAGAAGCAGTCCACAGCTGCTGGTTTGGATGGCTCAAAAAGACGACGCACCATCTCTGCCACTTTGCGTGAGTTCTCTGCTTTTTTTTTTTTTTCTTCAATGATTAAATTAAAGCAGAAGTTGTCTAATAACCATCTAGTCGTCGCCCTCTCCCCCGCTGAATTTTGTGACTCAAAAGAGTCAGCGGGGGAGAGGGCGGACTCCAGAAACCATCGAACACCATCAAACTGGATGACCCACTATGTGAAGGTGCTATTTATAAGACTGAGTTTGTTGCGACTCCTCAGACTAATGAAGTTTTTTGGATGAAAGATGAAATGTTTCAACACAATGAAACCGTCCAGAGGACCTGACTTAACTTTGTTGGATTTTTCTACCTGGACTATTGAACATGAACTTTGATATTATCAATCGATGTTTGATTATTATTTCAGCAACACAATAGTGATTGTTATGCATTTTACTTCCATGAAGCTGTGGTGTTTTTACTCAGGGTTATAATATTGTCTAAATCTCATGGTGGCCCATGCTTAGTGAGCTGATATTTTTCCTTTTGTCAGAATAAAAGTCTGTTCTAAAGATGCACAATATTGGATTTTGGGCCGATATACCGATATGTTAAAACTTATTCGGCTGATAACCGATGCTGATACCGATATTTTATATACATTCCTTTGTCAGAACATAGCCCTCTTATTTAGGCTTATTTGCTACAAAATTTCGGCAACAGCTGTAAGAGCTGGTGATATATATTCAGTAACAGCCATATGCATAGCACTTTAACATATTAAAAGTGTTAAATGTTATTTATGAGCATTAGTCACCTGTGATGCTCTCTCTCTCTTGTGGAGGCTTGTTCCAGGTTCCTAGCTGCAGTGTGGGATCCTCTGCACTCTTGTGCATGAAGGACAGCCTTTTTAAGTTCAAAGTTTTTGTCTATCCATTGTGCCGTAAGACATCATGCTAATGGGGCTAACACTTGACGTGCAAATGTCTGTGGTAAAACTCACCCAACAAGTCATGGAGAAGAAGCTGTTGGCTTCTTAATGTCGGCTGGTAACTCGGGTAACATTACGTCGAAAAAATATCTCCGACTGGGGATGATGTAGCGAGGCTCAACGTAGTCCATAAATCTTCGGAATCCACCATCCTCACCAACAAAAAATAAAACTTCCACACCGCCAACATTTTGAATTCGGGTATGGTGCACGTGACGTCATCGTGCTGCACTGCTGCCGCAACGTCAGCAGGTTGTGCTGCCGCTGCAGGCAAAAACGGCGCCTTTTATATCGGCGAGTTATTTTAATGGAATGGCCGATGTCCGATATTGAATTTTAACGTTAATATCGGCCGATACCATGCTGATAATATTGTGCATCCCCAGTCTGTTCAGCTGTATTAAAATGAGTGATCCTGAATCCCTTTTTTCTTACTCTCAGACTCTGGAGCTGTTGCAGCTCCCCGTGGTGACATTAAGACAGCAGGAAGGCGCACATCAGCCCCAGCTACAGTCAGTAGTACCCAGGGCCAACAACAGAGAACGCTGTTGAAGGAGAAGAGCAAGGAGAACCAGCTGGACAGGAACATATGCCAGCTGCAGAACAAGGACTCAGACAAGAGTGGCTTTGACATTGGTCAGTATGACGCATATGAAAGTGATGCATTCAGTGAGAAAGTACATCGTGGTTACACATTCCTTCTTATTCACTGTTAGTTTTAATAGTATAATTATCCACAGTACAATTATTCTTGGTCAGCTAATTTGATAATTTAATAAGTTACACTCCAACTTTTGTCACTTAATGGTCCGTAGGTTCTGTAAAAGACAAACTGAAAGAGAAACCCAAACAGAAGGACTTCCTGCGCATTAAACTAAAGAAGAAGAAAAAGAGGAAGAAGGCCAAGTCTGGTAAGAGTCATATCGCTGGCACAGGGCGGGGTCAAACATCTGCTGCTCTGCTTGTGCACTGGCTGTGATGGCTTGCAGACGAAGCGTAAAGCCCTTCATTCACTCCTCTTGGTGTAGTGACTGAGCTTGTGTGTGGGAGAAGTGTAACATTTAATGCTGCTTTGTCTCTTCAGTGTGACAGTAAGCAGCAAATTTTAATGTTTTATATGAAAGTACCAGTAGCAGAAAGCCAGGTCTTGTTGTGGCACTAATACTGAATCAGATCTTTTTAAATTAAATATGTGGTTGGCATGGCTTCAGATGGGCACAGTCTGCCTCCCACTGACACATTTTAAATCCTGAATTGTGACCCACATTTGTTCTCACTGATTGTTTTTAACCCTACATCCTTTGCCAAAAATGTTTGCCGTGCCACATTTTGCCACCCCCGATGGGCATTTGTTTAACATTTTAAAAGCTGACAATTTTGTTCTACGTTTGCTTCTCCCCCTTCCCTGTATTAACAGACTACACGGGTAGTGAGGAGAATATTGACATCTCAGTATTGGGTCTTCACTCCAAATTGAATTTGCCACTCAAATCCCCCCTCTCACACAATCACAAGCCTGAGGCCTACCCCGGCAGGCCCGGATACGGCTACACAGAGCAGATACATGTTGATGGTGGGTATATCTAAGACAGTGTGTGAGTGTTTGCACTTTACTTTGTGTCTGGGTGAGTGTTTCTGGCTTCCTTTGTCTTCTACTCTTCTTGGATTCAGTCCACCATGTTGACAAGTTTTTCTTTAGCCTGGATTATGTGCAGATGTTGCTGTTCATAACCCCAAAATATCCCCAAGTATCTAATCCATGGTTTATTGAATCCTGATCTTTTCTTTTGCTGCAGTGGCTTGCTTCATAAAATAATATAGATATTCGTCAAGTAGATATTTTAACTCTTAGCTGAACTTTCATTCAGGCATAATTTTACTTGTCAGAGAAGAATCCTTGTCCGTTGTATTTTGTCCTTAAAGAAAGCAATGGTTCTGTTCATCCCTGTTGCTGTAGACGAGGACAGTATCAGTGACTGGTCTACTGACAGCTGTGGGTGGAGCGATGACGACTTGGAGATGGACTTGGACGTGACGACGCCGCCTCTTAGTGTTGACTCTGGTGCCTTAGACACCAGCGACCAAGAGATCGTGCGGTGCATCTGCGAGGTGGAAGAAGATAATGACTTCATGATTCAGGTGAGTTTGTTATATTTAGTTTCAAGGTAGACTTCATTCATTCAAAGCCTTGCAGACACAGGAATGCACCCATATTTGTCCTTTTGTCAGTGTGAAGAGTGTTTGTGCTGGCAGCACGGCACCTGCATGGGCCTCATGGAGGACAACGTACCAGACAGATACACCTGCTATATCTGCAGAGATCCACCAGGTGAGGCTGAGACACTTCTTCAAATAAATTGGCCAACATCAGAGAACTAAAAATGGAATACAGTAGTCCCTCATTTATCGCGAGGTTTAGGGGACCACGCCCCCCACATTAAGTGAAAAATGAGGAAGTAGGGATAGTAGTTCAAGTAAACTTTGTCAGTACCATCTCATGTGGTACCTGGGATGGAACAAAATTATGCAGAAGTGCGTACAGGTACATTTATATACAGGTATAAAGGCATTTTAAACCCTTCCCACACTCTTGCAATGTTCTAAACTCTTAAACCAATGTCATTTTCAGGTCTCTCTAATCAGGTCTCTCTTGTAAATGAGTCCTCGAGGCTCAATGAGATTAACCTGTCTAAATAAATGTTGAATGAATGAAAAAATTTTTTTTAACATACAGTACTGTATATGTACTGTATTTTTCTCAAGTCAAAGTCAGTTTTTTTCATAATTTACATGCCCTGTGACTCATAGGCCGAAGCGACCTATTTATGGATTTTTCCCCATATTTATAAACCATTTTTTGGCTAAGATATGACTGTTTTCATTCATTCTGACTAGAGAAAAAATTTTGAGCAGTACCACTTTCAGCCACTTGATGGGAGCAGAGTAGTAATAGTGGTATGGCATGCTGTTGTATCATGTAATAGGAAAACGTAGGTTTAATGACAAATTCTAAAAAGTTCAAGACAAAAGCAACTGGACTTTATTTATTATACTTTACTTTATACTTTATTGTTTTTGTTTTTCTTTATCTTTTTTTAATTTACCATGACCTGAATGACTGAGAATCTTCACCAGCTTTTAATGACTCAGTCGGCCTGCCAAAGTCTCCCCACCTTGGTTCTGCTTGCTGTTTGGACCGACCATCAATCCAGCTGCACTGCCCTGGCAAAATGAAGCTAATTTGACCATTAAAGTGCATTTATTAAGAAAATGTTAGATTGATACACACTTTAATATAATTTTGGGCAAACAAATAATTGTTTTTAAGTGTTAATCTTGTTAAATTCTTGTTAAAGTCCTCCCGTGTACACTCCCGCTGCCGCCAATTGGTGGCTCATCCTCTTTTGGCACGGTGACCCGTAACAAACGCGATGCGTCAGCGGTGACGCATAATAGATGCAACGTATACGGTGAAGCGACAGATTTATGGATTTTTCCACTTTATTAGACAAATATGGACTGATGCTACTTATAGGGCGGTGCGACGTGTACAGCGGAAAATACGGTAGCTACAAAACTTTACTTACCGGGCTCTGCAGAACAGGAACGGCTCAGTTCGTTTCGGTCCGATGGTCTGTTTCTGCAGACGTACCCTGCAGCAACCCACAATCAATCAATGTTCTAAACTCTTGATCCTACTAATTTTAACAACATACTCATATGTATCCTGATGCATGCTCAATAATCCAGGTAGAAAAATCCAAAAAAGTTCAATCTTCAAGTGAGTCTGAGTTCAAACTCATCAACACCATCATTATTCCAATAACAACACATTCAGTGTAGGACAACACTCCAGTAGTCAATTACATGCCAGGGAGACAGAAAAGTGGGTGAAGAATTTATCTGACAGACAGCTCACCCAGCCGGAGACAGAGATTCTTGCCAGGGGACTGAACTTTGCGGTTGCACCAAGTAGAATTCCTCTGATGGAGATGATCACAGCCACAGAATCAGCCATTCGCAACAACAAAATGAAAGAGTGTGAAGCAGAACAGCTCAGAATCAAAGTTTCATCCTGCCTCAGCAATGCTAAACCACCACCTTCCAACATCATTAGAGAGGAGAGGGATGCAGTCACCACTCTTAGCAAGGACAAAAACATCATCATTCTCCCAGCAGACAAAGGAAGGTGCACAGTGGTTTTGAACCAGAAAGACTATCATGAGAAAGTTATGACACTCCTTAGTGACTTAACCACTTATGAACCTCTGAAAAGAGATCCAGGAAGTGGTTACAAGAAGAAGTTAATAGATTGCCTGAAAAATTTGGAGCAGGACAAGGCTATTGACCGTTTTCTGTACCACAGACTGTACCCAGGGGAGGCCACACCTAGTTTGTATGGCTTACCTAAAATCCACAAACAAGGTGTACCTTTAAGACCTATTGTTAGCATGATTAACTCTGTCACTTACAATGTTTCCAAATATCTGGCGTCTGTACTCATCCCTTTAGTTGGCAACTCAGAACACCACATACAGAACACCATGGACTTTGTGGACAAGGTGAGGGATGTCATCATGGAGACTGATGAAACAATGGTCTCTTTTGATGTCACATCACTCTTTACGTGCATTCCTGTTGATGATGCAGTAGAGGTGGTCAGTTTAAAATTAAAATCAGACACCACTCTGAGCAGCAGGACCACGCTTTCCACAGAACAACTGTGTCAACTCTTGAAACTGTGCCTGCAGTCAACCTACTTCACATATGAGGAGCAATATTATAGGCAGAAACATGGGTGTGCTATGGGGTCTCCAGTTTCTCCTATTGTTGCCAACCTGTACATGGAGGAGGTAGAAAAGAGAGCCTTGACGTCCTTCTCAGGGACACCACCAAGTCATTGGTTCAGGTATGTTGATGACACCTGGGTTAAAATTAAATCTCAGGAAGTCCAACATTTTACTGACCACATCAACTCTGTGGATAAATACATCAAGTTCACACGAGAAGATGAAAAAAATGGCAAGTTGGCTTTCTTGGACTGTGAGGTCTCAGTCTCTGATAGGACATTTGCAAACCGAGGTGTACCGCAAACCCACCCACACAGACCAGTATTTGCAGTTTGACTCCCATCACCCTTTGGAGCACAAGTTAGGAGTCATCAGGACTCTGTATCACAGAGCAGACAGCGTCCCCACTAACTCAGGACCCAGGCAGAAGGAGAAATCCCACACAAAACAGGCTCTAGAGCAATGTGGATATCCTAACTGGGCCTTCCTGAAAGCAGAGAAGAAACCCAAACAGGACTCCAGTCAGCCAACAGGGGAAAAGGAGGAACCCAGACCCAGACCAGTGGTCATTCCGTATGTTGAGGGAGTATCAGAGAAACTGAGACGTTTATTTTCTAAACATAACGTCCCAGTGGTTTTTAAACCCCAAAATACATTACGGCAAAGACTGGTTCATCCCAAAGATCCAGTCCCCGGCACAAACAGAGTAATGTTGTGTATGCTGTTCAGTGTCAGGAGGGCTGTGATCAGTCTTACATCGGGGAAACTAAACAGCCACTGGCCAAAAGGATGGCCCAGCACAGAAGATCAACATCATCAGGCCAGGATTCTGCGGTCTACACTCATCTCCAGGCCAGCGGTCACTCTTTCAGGGATGAAGATATTCACATCCTGGATAGAGAGGAACAATGGTTTGAGAGAGGAGTAAAGGAGGCCATCTTTGTGAAAAGAAATCGTCCATCATTAAACAGGGGTGGAGGCCTCCGGGTTCAACTGTCCCCCTCTTACAATGCTGTGATTGCTGGTATCACTCAGCCGTCTGTGAATAGTAAACAGCCATCAGTGTGCTAATGATCCATTGTTAGGCTGATGGTCCTTCTTGAGCATGTGATCAGCTGGTTTTGGTTGTCAGCAGCAAACTGGTTGATCCACTCTGAGACGGTGCTATTTAAGAGACTGAGCTGAATACAGCTCCTCAGACTGAGGAAGTCTCTTGGATGAGAGACGAAACGTTTCTAGATTTTTTTGCTTTGTTTTGTTTTTTGTTTTTCTGAATGTCCAGAGGACCAGATTGAAATTTTTTGGATACTCATATGTAGCTACTAAATTTTACTTAGCAGCATGTCCCTGCTTGGAGGGCCTCATTGGCCGGTTGAAAGAGGTGAAAACAGTCCTGTTAAGCTTCAGATGGATCACGGATTATCGGCTGTGCGTGTCCCGCTCGGCTCTTCATGGGCCAGTTGAAAGAGATGAACAATGTCCTGTTAAACTCCAGATAGATCACCGGATCATAGGCCGCACGCGTTTGCTTGGAGGTCCACATGGACGGGCTACCAGCTCTCAAGATTCACCGATGGGTCTGGAAGTCTGGTTCTGATCCAGGGTCAGATCAAAACTTTACATCTGTTTTTTCAGCAAAAGAAAACTGGGCTTCTGAGTGGGGCCCTGTTGCCCTCTGGGTAATGGGGTCATTATGAGTGGGAATGTACAGTCTTGTAGAGTGAAAACTACAAAATGGCAGCACCTGTACAAAATATTTTATTTTTCATTAAATTTTTACTGTACAGTACTGTATCCAATACTGGCCCAATCATGCGAGTAATAACTAAAAATAATTTAGTCCAATATTATATATTATGAACTGTACAAACTGCGATAGTGAGTGAAAGTCGAACCACGAAGTAGAGGGACTACTGTACTAGATTTTAAATGTGCAACATGAAAAAAGTCTTTCAATTTCTACAAGTTTCTTTGTGTTGACATTTGATATTTTCTTAGATATTTGTTTAAAAAAATTACAGTTTCATCAAAAGGCCTCAATTTATAAAAAGGGCAGCTGCTATTTTATACATTTATTCTAAAATGCAGATTTCTTTTTTGATGTCTAAACATATATTTGGTCAAAATGACCTTCAGAGATAGGTCTGTCACTATTGACTTTTATTTTCATTAATAAAAAGTAATTTTTCTTTAAATCTCAAAATCACACTTTTATTTTACTTCATTTAATTTTTAACAGTCAACCTTGGCTTTTCCAGTTTATCACAAACTAAAATGCAAGCAAATACTTTCAAATTAGAGTATAAAATACAGGTTCAAAGTGTCATGATGGATAAATAAAAGGGAACTGATTATTTAAATATTTAAAACAAAAAACAATTATTCAGCTTATTGTAATGATATTTTTGCATGAGGCTGAGGTGAGAACTTTTTTTTTTTTTTTTTTAACAAGAGTCTTGAGAAAGATAAGATGAACAAACCAACTGTTTAGAGTTTAAAACTATTTAAGTTGTTTTGTAGTCACAACTTTTATAATCAGTATTACTTTAAATGCAACAAATTAAGTTTAGAAATAATAATTAAATAAAGCAATATTTCAAAAGTTTTTGCTCATAGTAAATAAAATGAACTCTGCTATGTGTTTAGTATTTGTATCTAGACTTGGAGATAAACTTTAACATTCATGGTGGCTGATGTTTTACAAAATCACACTTGAACAGAGCTGCCATAACGTTTGTTTCTCACATATTATAGAATGTTTAAACTAAAATCACAATCTCAGAATAAACCACTTCATATGACTGTGAATCCAACAAAATTGTAACTTTGTCTCAGTAACGCAGTGAAGAAACTCCTGCTCTCCAGCCAACGTTGTGCTTTGCTGCTCTTCAGTTTTAATTTGAACTTCTGGACAACCTGACACCTTGTTTGACGTTTTATTTCCTCTCAGGTCAGAGGCAGAGTCTGCGCTATTGCTACGATCGTGAGTGGCTGACCAGCGGCCACATGTATGGCCTGTCCTTCCTAGAAGAGAACTACTCTCACCAGAACGCCAAGAAGATCACCACCACACACCAGCTGCTGGGGGACGTGCACCACGTGTTGGAGGTTCTCAACGGCCTGCAGCTCAAGATGAGCATCTTGCAGTGAGTGCATGGAAACCCAACAGCAGGTGTAAACGTGTGACAGTAAAGTTGAAGGAGCTGTTGAAAGTAAATTTCAATACTTTTCATGTTTCAGGAGCAGCACACACCCCGACCTGCAGCTGTGGCGGCAACCCTGGAAGCGCTTGGAGAAGCCGCACCTCGGCTTCGACTCGTGTCGAGGCAGCAACACGGCTCCGTCCCCTGTGACCTTTGAAGAAGACATGAGCCGAGGAGAGATTTTAATGTCCAATGCACTGGAGAAGTTGAGCCGGGCCGCTACAGCCGCTACCTCCTCTTCATCCAGCACCTCTTCCCCTTTCCCATCTTTCCAGGACTCGTACATTATCAGTGAACACTGTTATCAGAAACCACGGGCATATTATCCAGCTGTAGAGCAGCGGCTGGTGGTGGAGACCCGACAGGGTTCAGAGCTGGAGGACAGCATGAGAAGCACAGAGGAGCTGCTGGAACGGGAGCAGCGCTACGGTAGCTTGCTGGAGATGGAAAAACCTAAACCGTCAGACAACAACAACAAGGTTGGAGTTTATGCTTTTTATAAAATGAAGAAGTAAAAACACAGATTAGATTGACTTCTTCCAACAACTCCAATTTTCAAAACTGAGGCGATTTATTCAAACACTGTTGTTTAATTCTTGCTGGAATTCACCCAGCCTGCCTTGGAAGTGCTACAGCCAACTGCTGCTAGTTAAGATAAGATAAGATAGAACTTTATTGATCCTGCAAGAAATTGTTGTGCCAGAGTTTCAGTACAAAGGAACATACACAAGATATAAAAAAATTAACAAGAGAATATAAAAATACCAACAATTAAGTTCTAAACAGGTCAGGTGCAGACAGAAACATTAAAATGTTTATTGTGGTGCAGGATTAATTTGATTGCCCTATGTGTAGAAAGGGGGAGGAGTTAAAAAGTTTGATAGCCACAGGGAGGAAGGACTTCCTGTGGCGTTCTGTGGAGCACCTCGGTGGTCTTGGTCCACAACTGAAGTTGCACATGCCAATAACCACAGCTGTCTATATACATAACCGTGCATCGTGACATGGATGGCCATAAAATGATGTTGGCATAAAATGCTAGAAAGTTTGAGATTGGAGGGTTTTTTTTTTTTCTTTTTCCAGCTTTTCCCTCTTCGGGGTCTCCAGTCCACAGCGAGTCATCCTCCTCCATCTCTCTCTGTCCTCTGCATCCTCTGTCCTCACTCGAACTACCTCCATGTCCTCTCTAACTGCATCCATATATCTCCTCTTTGTTTCCTGGCAGCTGCATTTCTAACATCCTTCTACCAATGCACCCACTGTCCCTCCTCTGGACATGTCCAAACCGTCTCAGTCTGGCCTCTCTAACTTTGTCTCCCAGTTGTTCAACCTGTGTTGTACCTCTGATCTCATTCCTAATCTTGTCCATACTCGTCACTCTAAAGCAGAATCAGATTGGAGTTGTTTTGAGATGGTAAAAATCTACGTGGGTCTTGGCTGCGTTTTGACAGGCTGTGAGCACATCAGTCCTGTCAGATAAACTTAATTTAATTTCTGTTTTTCTGACGTAATCCTCATAACTTTTTTTTTTAGTAAATCTGAAGTAGCTGGAGTGTCCCTTTAAACACCATTCTTCATGTAATTATGACATGATATTAAAATTGTACCCCAATTTAGGGCTGTGGATCATTAGGCTTCAATTTGATTATAAAGTTATTGATGCTTTTTGATTATCATGAATTTTCAATTACTGACTTATTTTACATAAACACTGATTTATGTATTTTCATCCCTAATTAAGAGTGAACAGTAACATAGTATTGGTTGCTCCAACTTTCTTTTCCCCCTTTTAGATAATGCTAGGGTAAATGCTACATATATTTAAAAACATAGGCTGCAGACTAACAATTGGCGTTGATGTCAGATTACCTATAAAAAGGATTAGCCTCATGTTTATCCCTGAAAATGAATCCACAAATTAAATGTTTCAGAGTCGTGGCTAAAAGCGGTCATGTTATTATCATTTTAACAAATAAAGACATTTATTCTTCAGAGTTCAGACAAGAAAACATGAAAACGATGTAAAAACACAGCTTTACTGCAACATATTTCTAACTATGGGAACTCTTTCATGACAAATCGCTGCAGCTTCTCTGCTGACTCTTGAAGTAGCAGCACTCATTAATGTTAAAACTCGTTCTTGGCATTTGAAAATCAGTTCAGTATTCCATGTATGCAATATATTAAAATAGATTTCAACCCCCACCCATACTATACAACTTTTCTTGTTAAGAAATAATATAAATGGATTTGACTGGAAAGCATTTAGACAATAACATGAAGTGGTTTTGAAAATGGATGTGTTTATGAATATCTTCAGGCTTCGATGCGTGTGTCGTGGTCTCAGGCGGAGAACAGGGAAGCCGGTGGGAAAGACACTGGAGATAAAAGGCAGTATCTACAGTGGCAGAACAACCTACTGGATCACATCGATGCTGTCCAGGATGAGGTATCCCACAGGATGGATTTCATAGAAAGAGAGTTGGACGGTAAGAGAAAAGAGTTGGCCAAAGTTGTATGTTTTTGTGTGTAAACAAGCCCTCACCTCTGGTCTTTGCTGTCCTTTTTTTAGTGCTGGAGAGCTGGCTCGACTACACTGGAGAGTTGGAGCCTCCTGAACCTCTTGCTCGTCTGCCTCAGCTCAAACAACGCATGAAACGGCTGCTGTCACAGCTGGGAAAGGTGCAGCAGATCGCTCTGTACAGCTCCACATGAGGGCACCAGAGATCAGCTCCAGGCACCGCAGTTTGCTGTAGCAGAGCAGCAGATGAGAGATAACTCAGTAATGCTAATCCGACCTCATTTAGTTTCTCCTCTGTGGAGTGGAATCTAATGCTGCAGCCATCCTGTGTCATATTTGAATATTTATATGGATGTGTATTGAAAGTGAGCATCTTAAATCAGGATGAAAAAATATATCCTCGTAAAATGTTGGAGAAAATCCTTAGATTACACTTGATGTGTCTCCCATGCAACTCTAAACCTTATGAATGCCTTTTGTCCAAACTACTGCTTATCGTCACTCTTTCTCAGTGCACAGTGCTTTACAGGCAGGAGCTTTATTTTCAAATTGCAGTCGAGTACCTGAACCAACGCTCTTTGCAAGTGTTCTGAACACATTTTGACATGGTCCTTTTTTGTGCATTAATTAGTTTGTTTTTGTTCACTGTCCTCCCATATTGTGTTAAAACTCTGGCTGTAATGTAGACAGTTGGTAACTTGAATACATTCAGTATGCAACATCGCTCTTCAACCAGTCTTTAATTAATATTCTGTTTCCATTTGCACTGTGAAGCTCTTGGTCTGACATCTTATTTGTTGTATCTTAAGATAAAACTTATTTCCTCTATTTGTTCATCTGTACGGATCATGTGTTTTTTGTCAGTTTATCTCATATTTTTCTTTGTATTGTTGTTTTTGTAGCATTTATTGTATAATTCACTGAAAACTGTTATGTAGGTTCTTATTAAACTAGCATTTTGTCAAAATGTTTCCTAGAAAACGTAAATTTATTATTTCTTTCTTTTATTTTTGTTCAGTTTCATCTCTACTTACTGTGTTTTGGTTTCTTATGAATTGTCATTCAAAAGTGAGTTCTTGAATTGACGATGTTGTCCAAATGCAGATATCGTTTGTTACTGTACTGTAAACGTCTGTTTCTAGAAGCAGGGAAAAATGTCCGAAATAATGCAAACAAATTTCCTGGTACATCAATAAACTATCATTGTTATTAATCTCTGAACACCTTTCCTGGTATTTTCTCAACGAGTTTCTGACATGTTGGTATTTTAAGTAAAACATATTTAAAGTAATGATTTTTGTGTGCACTGTGGAGGTAATCGGGTTGAAGCATTTTTAGTTTAACATTTTTTGCCGTGTTTTTGTATTTTGACATTGATTTGCCACAGTGCATTAAAAAAAATCTTTTTATGGCTTAACTGATTTTGTGGTGTTATATAAGCAGATAAAAAAAAATTGTCTTCGTTTGAACCTCAAAATTTAATCTGGCAGTAGGTTAAATTTAATCTGTGAAAGATGGACACAATATGTCTTTTTTTTTTTTTTTCCTCACATTTAAATCACCTTCAAGTTTTTATTGGGCATGTCTAAAAGCTGCTCCGGCAAAATGGAATAACGGAAACCATAATTTCTTTGTAATGTGTAGTTTTCCATATCCGGTTTTCCGAGTGAAATATTTTAGAACAGCGTGAGTGCTCTCCATGTTCATTTACCAGTCTGTGTGTGGAACCGCCTCCTCTCATTGGCTGATCAGCGGTGTCTTCCTCCGCAGCGGCGTCAAGCTCCGCCCACAGGCACACAGATATACTGGCTGACGTAGAGGAAGCGGCACGCAGAGAGACAGTGCGTTTTATATCCCAAAGATAAACGTTTAACTGCTTGTATTCTACTGTTTATCCAGCGAGGAAGTTACTAAAACCTAACAGAGACTTAATTCACCGAAAAGGTAAGCCAGACAGTGCGTGTTTACTCCGGAACATTTACCACTTACAGATGCGCTCGATGCCACGGATTACAGATCAATGGATCTCTCCAACCTGTTCTGTTGCTGTCAGTATGTCCAGTAATTATTTTAAGTTACAAAAACGAAGCTAACAAAGCAACGCGCTATTAAAAGCCTTTTTTTTTAAAGCGCGAGGACAGCCGTTAGCTAAACGAGCGCGTGAAGCGTGTTTTAGGGGACAACTGCGGTTCAGTTGAATGAAGTTCGTCGTTGCTGTTTTTTGACAGAGATGCGACAATTCGTCCGTGTTTTCACGGTAAACTGACGGTCCTCCTAACCTCAGGTTATTAAACACTGACAGCTCTTTATTCTGTAACATTTTCTACTAAAACAATGGAACGACAAGTTCTAGTAAAGGTAAAAGAGACTAGGCCTGCCACGATGCCTTCAAGAACCAGGCTCAAAACTCTATAATTTATCGTGTTTTGAATCTATTCTTTGAAAAAAATATAGTATAAATTAACAAGAGTAAATTGGTTTTTACGCTGATTTTTATATAATATTATCCACTAATGTATGCTTTTAGAAAACATAAAGTACCTCTTTATTATATTGATTTTGATCTTTAAAAACTTGTGTAGGATGAAATGCTTTTCTGTGTTGATTTCCTGGATTATAATCTCTCCTGGTTTTGGTGTAACTCTTTATATTTGCTCATTTATTTTTGCAGCGAGCCTGTTTACTCCATCTGTGTAAGGCACATCAGTAATATTTGCAGGTGTCACACCTTTGACACACCACATGGAGGGATGCAAGGTCACACAGGTGTTCAGTGTCAGATGGAGGAGGGGGGGGGTCAGGGTCACTACCGCCATCTTGAAACCACATGTGCACTTTAAAATATTATTACTGACAGAATAAATGTAGTTTTTGTCGATTAAATACGACAGTGAAGCACGAGAAGGTCATTGTGACCTTTGTTTTGAATTTTGAACTGGTCTCCCTTGATGATAATGTATGTGTGTCAGCAAAATAACTCATGAACCACTGGACAGATTTTAATGAACGTCTCAAAAAGTAATAAATGAATGGACATCTGCATCTGATTACCCTTTGGAGTTAGCTTAATTCAAGATGGCCACCACAGCTAAATGACCTTAGCACGCTTGGACAGTTTTATAGATATTGAGCTAAACTTTGGTGTGGTAGTTGCTGAGACTTACTCCCAACACATAAAGTTGGGTGAATGCTAGCTCCTTCAGTTTTATAGATATTGAGCTAAACTGTGGTTTGGAGCTGAGGGTCATCCTCATCACATTTTCTGGGCACTAAAGCCTCTCTCAAGAGGTCACACCATCTCACATGTGATCACGCACACATGTACCATTCTGTTAAAGGTTTAACCAAGCAGGTTTAATGTGTCTCTTCTTATTGAAAGGTGATTTCTGTTTAAAACTGTGACAGGAAGAGGCAGTTGTGATATGCCTTCCTTCAAGGATTGCTAGTATTTTAGTTTAAGTCTAATATATTTGTATACATCTTTCATATTTAATTCTGGTACAACTGATTCAGGTGTTCTCTCGTCCATAATGTCCAAAAGCACATTGCTTACACAACAAGCAGAGGCCAGGGCTCTGTTTTCACTCACAACATTACTACTAACGACGGTTGTTCTACCTTGAAAGATCAACAAATAGTAAACTATAGCTCAAGATGTGAATCAGGTTTTCTATAGTTGGACCATATGGTGGATAATTAAACGTTTAGCCATGCTGCTGATAGTCTGGTTGATTATTAGACTAAGAACCAACGCTGCTTTACCAAAGGAATGTCAAAAGTTGTTTATTAATCTGCACATTATCCCAGTGCTCTTACAATCTGTAGGAAACAGTTTCCTCAGGACTCCTGGGAGATTAAAAAAAAAAATCTAAACCCACTGTCTGTAAATTAATTTGTTTGTGACACTGGCGTGCATAAAATGCTGTCCGATCTTCTGATTAAGATTTCCCCGTGCTCAAATCAATGACGACAAATTCAGCTGAGTGGAACCAAAAGCGGCGTAATTCAACGTGGACGCTCTTAAGTAAACGATGTGAAACAATTGTAGCATGTCTGTGCTAAGTAATGACAATATTAAGGTGGCTTTTCAGCATGGATTACAGCATAGTCTTGATATATTGAAGGGATTACTGGGCATATAAAAAGTGATAAATGCTCTTGTGTGGAAGAGGATTTCTTGCAGCTGTGGCAGGGATGAATGTCAGGCGGTAACACTCACTGCAGGGATGGAGGTAGTAATTATACCACAGTGCTGACAGTCAGGCTGGCTCCTTACTACTCACACATCAGCTTTTACTATTCTCTGCTCTGCATTATAAAACCTGACCTGCGGACCAAATCTGGGCATTTACTGTGACCCAGAGGTGTTCACACCAAACTCAAAACAAACAAGAAGGATGTTCAAAAAGTTTCAAAAACTACTAAAGATTGTTTAAAAAAGCAAAATAGAAATAATTGTTTTTGAATATCCTGATGCATGCTCAATAATCCAGGTAGAAAAATCTAAAAAAAAGTTAACTCTGTTCCTCTGGACATTTAAAAAAAAAAAAAAAAAAGAATTGTAGAAACGTTTCGTCTTTCATCCGAATTGTTTTTGAACTTTTTCCTCAGTATTGTACATTGTTGTTGTTGTTTGCTGTTGTTGTTGTTGTTGTTTGCAGTTTATAATTTTTTTTGTGTGTTTATACCATACCACTTTATTTATAAAGCACTTAAAAACAGCAACAGGGCCAGCCAAAGTCTGTACAGCAAAACAAAAGCAGCAAAGGACACAGGATAAAATACATCGATCCACAGAGATAAAGATAAGAACTAAATGGCTAATACTCTATTATAGAATACAGGCAAGTTAAGAGCAACCGTGTCAAAACTCTGGGAATTTATATTTATACATATTATATATGTATATATACATATATATACATTACATATTTATATGTATAACCCATCAACGCCTACAAATAACACACAATGTTTAAAATGCATTAGTTTAAAAGTCTTTTTCTCTTCATTCCTGTCAGTCTTAAAACTAACCGCTCCAGGTTTCTGAACAGATGTATTTATAACAATAAAATCCAGCTTATAACAATAAAATCCAGCTTAAAAAGTATCAGACTATCCCACAAGTTTCTGTTGTTTAATTGATGGCTGCATTGGGTCTACGTTTGTAACACAAAATGAGCTTAAAGGATAACAAGATTTATTTGGTGTTGTTTTTTTTTGTTTGATTGTGTTTCAGAGACAGGAACTGATCAGTTTTTTGTAATGTTTTTACTGTAGTTAAAGCAGTAACATAAGGTCAAGGCTGCTTGATTGGTTGTGTACTTTTGCACTAAACTAACAACGTTAAACTCATTAGCTTTGTCTAACTCCACATCTTAAACATGGTGATGCTGTGCTCGAATGAGTTCACGGTTTCAAACATTTGGGAGCTTACGTCTCCACAAGTTGTTTTTGTATATTCACTCGCATGCTTTAGTTAGTTCGGACTCGCTGTGTTTTTGTCGTTGTCTTGCTGATGCATGTGTTTGACCAGCAACAAATAAAAACATATTTCTGGACAAGCTGTGTGTGGGGTGTAAAGAAAAACTTTTGTCCTAGTGTTACATTTTGAAGACAATCGCCGCTACTAACATGAAAAAAAAAAACACCCAACAAACAAGTCTGCATCCATCCTTAGCAGAGCTGCACAGCTAAACATAGTGCAGTTTTTGTGTCTGCATGTCAGCCTGACCCTTTCTTTTGTTGTTCTGCTGCTGCATCTTTGTGTCACAGCTTCTGTAGTTTAAGAGGCACCAGGCTTAGAGTTACAGCACATGCTTTCCAGAAAACCACTGATGCATCTGTTCCAGGAGAACTTCCTAAACGACTCCAACCTGATCCAAACTGTTCTTTTAG